CCAAGCAGGTCACTTCGTCATAAAAGGAGATTTTCCATTTTCCCTAGCAGCATGGGAACATTCCCTCCTTTCTTCCTAGGATATGCTCTTAACAGTGTAAGTTAATGAGCTTTCTAAAACCAACCACCACAGCTTGGCTGTGTCCTTCACAAGCAGCGCTGCTCACCTGTGAGTTTAAAGCATTATCTATTTCGTCCTGCATACCACCACCAGGACATGTAACAGTACATACATTCACCCCAGCACTGTGGAGAGCAAAGCACAGTGCTGTGAGGAAGCAAGGAGCTCTAATACCAAACATTTGTCATATCACAGATATTTCCCTCAAGACAAAGTTCCCAGACCCAGCTGAGGTCAGAGGGTCCTCCCAGTCTTGGGATGCCAATTTTCATAGTGCCAGCGACTCCACGTGTCCCTCAGCAAAAGTGTCACTTGTGCTTTTCAATTCCTGCTCATAAAGAGGATGGGAACCCTGCAGCTGTTCACTAGCTCTGCACGTGTCAGTGTGCAGAGCCACACTCGCCACCTTCTTCCATTCAGTGAGTTAAACTTTGAATGTTTACTTCAAGAGAGGCACAGCCTGACAACAGAATCATTGAATCATGTAGGCTGGAAAAGACCTTTATGATCATTGAGTCCAATCATTAACCCAGCACTGCCAAATCTACCACTAATCCATGTCCCCAAGTGCCACATCTACATAGCTTTTACATATTCATTCCTGCAGCCAAAATAATTTATCAAGTTTTCTTTCACCAATTTTCTCACCATGCAGTGCCACAGGTTTCCTCCTGAGAGATGGCACTGAGGTGACCTCCTTGAGGTTAGCAACACTGATCTGCAGGACGTAAAATTGGGGCACCTGCTAGCCAAAACCAACCTCCTCTGCCAATTCTAGTGTTTTCCTCTCAACACTGAAGACATTCCACATTTAAACTTCCAAGAGCAGCAATGCCCAGCTGGCAAAGATACCAACCTTCTTCTGAAACTCATCCACCATGCCAGCTTTGGCAACGGCAGCCTTGTAATGAGCCCAGTCGATGGCTGGAGGTTTCTCTGGCAGGGCAGCCAACCTAAAACACAGAGGACAGCAGTCACGACCAGTGCTAGAAGTTACATTGTGCTATCATTTGCTCTCCACTGCAGTTACTTTCCAGAGTGTCAACAGAGCCTCCTAAGTTTAGTTTAATTATCTTCAGGTCACAAGCAGCGATGAACTATTTCTGCAAATCCCTCTGCCCTTGAAACAGACTTCTATGTATGGACAAGAAGAGCTCAGCCTGCAGCCATGCTCCACTTCAAACTACTACACAGCATCTCTGGGTGCAGCCCTGTAAGAAAAGGTCAGGCAGTTTTCACAGCATTGAGCTAGAGACAATGAGGAACATGAACTGGGATAGCCAACGATCTTTGTATCAAGCAGTGGATACTGAAGCATGTGAGAAGGCTCATGAATTTGTGCAGCATTTAACAGAACAAAGCTTGCAAAATGTTCTGAACACACCAAAGCAAACTGCTTTCACAGAACTGCTTTTTTACATTGCAGGTATTGTAAAAGTAAGTATAAGTAAAGCTGATTCGTCAAAAAAAGCCACCAGCTGTCTTGAAGGTGACCTGCTTTCATGCCTCTCGGGACACTTCTGCAAGACCACAGTTACCAACACCTGCTCAAGCCGGTACCACAAAGGTTGACTGGATCAGCTGCAGGGTTGAACAGCCCCACACACAGGAGCCAGGCACTCACCGGGCCGACAGCGCATCACTGCGGCTCTTCAGAGCGTTGAACATGGCCTTCTGGTTGGGGGGCACCCTCTCGGCGAAGGCCGCCCAGTCAATGGCCTTGATGGCAGCTCTGCGGCCCGCCATGGTTGCAGCCTGCGCCCAGGAGAGAGGACACCAGGGGGTTAACGCTGGGGGAACGGGCAGGGACCAAAGATCGCTGGGTTGGGGAGGGCGACACAGAACCGGCCAGGCAGCAACCCGGGGAGCGAGCTGGGGCTG